AGGGGGATTGATGTTAGAGCAAAAATTCAGAATTCATGTCCCCGTTATCCTAGAGCACTCGGCGGTCATGCTCATGGAACGTAATGGATCCCTTCACATTGTCGGCATAGGCGGCAACGTGAAGCTTACTATCTGACTTAATTCAAGAGACAAGGTGTGTAAATGAGGAAAAGCGAGGGTAATATGACCTCCCTCTGTGCACTCATGAGGTAGCGTTTCTAGTCGTAGAAACAATCAAAAAAGCGAACTTTCGTTTTCCAATCTGCTAAGTAAGCTTGGAACCATCGAAACATTCTCCCTCTGACACCGAGGCTTTTAAGCTTTGACAAAAGACTAGGCCTCTGAACAGTGTCAAATGCCTTACTTAAATCAAAGTACACAATGTTTACATTGAGCCCCTGGTTGACAGCTTCAATCCAAATATGGGAGCATTCTATCAACTGGGTACAAGTAGAGGCCGATTTTGCGCAAAACGCGATACGAAAACCTCACAGGGTTGGCGAGCTATGGACAAAACATCGGCCTCTGACGAGACTGCGACCCGTACTTGTTCTATCCGGGTACCGTGCTCTTATCCTTTATACTGCCGAGACCCCGCTTGACCTCGCCTTCTTAATGGCTTATATCTAGCTATAGCTAGATATAAGCCATTAAGCTTATCAGCACTCACACGGACGTGTTGAGCCGCATAACAGCATTGAACCGTTAGGCTAGGTTCCAGTCCCGTCCGAGGCCGAAGTTTCGTCCACAATTCCCCATCCTTGCGAGACATCTTTCTTATTTTTTTGATCGTGACAACTGACTTTTGACTTAAGATCGCACTGACAAGACGAAATTTCATTGAGAATTCATTTTCAGTTTCCAGAAGGAGCCAGAACTTTGCAAAGGGATTACCAGCAGAGGAAAGAGAAAATATACGGAGAAATGGAAATGTGTGATATTCGAGAAGTTTCCTCCTATTTAAACCGCAAGTAATATTTTACATTTACCTAGGTTGTCGATGAAATTCAACAGCAAAAAGCGAGCTGCCAGCAAATACAGGAGTTTTGTATAAAGATGTCCAGATTTGTAACAAACAAAGCTATCGAACTTTTCTACTTATAATTTTGGCTTTACTTACAGTATTCTTATTATCAAGAAGTTGAGCCGTTTTCCCATATCATAGCAACTTTGACCAAAAATGCATTGAACTTATTTACTATGCATGGAAATAAAACCACTCAAAACCATCGGAATTGATATTATAACTTTTCCCTCCCACAAACTCATTTTTTAACACGTTGACGACGAGCCAATTTTTTCGTGTCTGTCCCGTGGGACGACACAGTTTCTGTCTTGGAAATTTGTTATTCCTCGAAAAAATGAGTGATTACATTCAAAAACATTTGAAATCCGCCAACCTTCTAGCAGTATTCAAAGTTCGACCAAGAATTGTGGCTACTCGGGGTGATTTCAAATTTGGCGGTGATAAATTTGAATTAGGGGTATATATGTGAATAGGATCTCTGAAAGTATTATTATCCTTGCGACTATTTTTGCCATCATGAGTGTTCCGGATGTTCAAATGGAAGACTTAACGAAATTTTTGACCACTGGCTGCTCGACAGCGACGATGATGCTGCAGGTGATTTAGACGGCGATGATATGGCTTCTGCGGTTGACCCTGTCTTGTATTTGTATTATTCATCTTGGAATTAATTTAATAGGTGGCCGGTGCTATTTTGGACACTTATAAGCCTAAATTGAAAATCTGCACAAAAAACGGAACAAGCACACACATTTTAATCAAAGAATGCACCGTCGCGCAGCATTGCGCGACATCGTCCCATGAGACAGACTGGCTGTCGCGACATTGTCGTCAACGTGTTAAATAAAAACTCCACCTTTGTAATTGCCATTAGCCTCGTTAGTTGACAGGTTTTGACTCGATTAGTAGCGAGTGCGGGCAGCATAATTACTGAGAAGTTTTCGCACCTAATCAAGGTTACTTCGCGCCTCGGTGCGAGGTGAGCTTGGCTAGGTGCTATCGCACCAATATTCGCACATCCTATCGATTTCAACCCATAGTGGGACCTCATCTTTTGCAAAATCAAATACTATTAGGCGGTTCGCAAAGTATCTACCGAAAATCTTGCAGTAATCTAGATCTTTCTGGAATGTTCTCGACGTGTTGATATAACTGCTGATATAAGAGCAAGAGCAGAGGGGGCGGAGGTGGTGTAGTGGCAAGTGGCGCACTATATCACACGCACGGACAGGGGTTCGAATCCCGGATCGATGCCCGCCTAGGCCAACCAAGCCTTCCATCCCTCCGGGGTCGGTGAATTGGTACCAGACTCGTCTGGGAGGATGAAAGCACTGACTTGTACATCGGCTGGCCACCGCAAGTCATTGTATAGGCCACATACGCACTCATTACGCCACCACGATTCTGAATGGAAGTCGAGTGCGGGGGCGCATCCCTCAGACGGGATTGATTAACGCCAAAAACTTTATCCTTTATCCTTATTTATAAGAACAGAACCAATCTGGAAGAGCATAACGTATCGCTATCTTTTCTCCAGTTATTTACCGCTATAATGACCGAATGGCCTCCTCATGTTCGACAGGCACTTCTTTCGATTTCGAATCCTCTCCATTGCCCGCCACTTGGAATTTTCGTCATGTGTTAGGCCTTGAAGCCCCTTCTATACGTTAGTGTGTACGCCTCGGTAAGCCTCGACGTGGTTCAGCACTGCTATATCATGTGACCTTCGGACTATTACTAAAAGCTATGATTAGAGCCAGTCCACTTCACTCATTCACTATCACTTGAAGAAATTCCCAGAACTCTCAACTTGCGACAACCTACCGTTTTCGTTGAAAAACTAAAATATTGAAGTGATTGAAAAGTGACGACATTAATGGCACCTTCATTGCAATTGAGTACCCTCCTTGGAGATAGCTGCGTTCATTACCAGTGATACCATTGCTCGCGATGATTCGAGACAGATTATAATTCAACTTCGAAGGCAATGATGACGTAACCTTCCATTGAAGACACCTCAGACGATAGCGAAGTGAGAGTTATGTGCTACTGCAAAGATTGACGTTTCGAATAAAATTTTCTGCGCTGTCCCAACACATATCAGAAAACGCATGATGTTTCACTGTTCATATCGGACAGAAAAACCCATAAAATCCTTTCTTTCCTTCAAATTCCTCTTTTGTGCAGAAAGCAGAAACTTTTAAGTGAAAACGAACTAGTGTCATCAGAAATTGTCACAGAAATGACATCTGATGGATGAATCTTATAATCTATCTTATATCTTGACAAGAAAATGGAAGGCTTGAACTGAGAAAGTACAACTTGAATCTGGCAGTTACATTATGTTGTCCTAAAATAAATAGTCTGCAGAGGAAAGAACACAGAATGTTAGGAGTAGGTGTCCCATACGTATGAAGGACTGCTATAACCCATAAACGTTCACAGTATATTACGCTTACAACTGAGTTAAGAGTAGAGGAGCAGGAAGGTGGATGAGCATCCAACAGAACAAAAAGGCTAAATGATCAATTGGGCTCCACTTCACAAATATCAAGTGAATAACGATAACGAAAGGACACAGCCCAGCTTGGTTTTGAAAACAGATGAAAACGGATTCGGTTGAAATGGTTCCAGTTTGTAGAAAGACACAACGTAAGCGATCCTGACTTTGGTAGAAACGTATCTCACAGGACCAGCTCGATGTCAGAACTTCTACATTACCCTCGACAATTCGGGATGTGGGTCGTTAGTTACGACTGAGATTACTTGGCGCCGAGGTGCGAAGTGGCCTCAATCGTAACAAACCTCATCTTAATTACGCGCGTAACTCACCTCATCTTACTTATGAGAGTGATGGCGAATGATGAGAATGATGAGAAAATCAAACTTCAATAAAATTAGTTTTTCAACTTGAACATTATGGCCTTTGGTTTAAAGAGTTTTATTACCATGCAAGATGATAGAAATTTCAACAAAAAATTCCAATAGAATGTGAAGAAGCCTAAATTTTCTAATAAGAAGTATCTTAAAAATAATAATTAAACAACTCGGATGGTCTTTCGCACTGAACGCATCGAAAAACTTCCCCATACTTGATAATGCGCACCTTCTAAAAGTATATGCATACTCTGAACCTGGAATTCTGTAGACTTAAACCCGATTTTTTTGTACTTACTTACCTGCCTTTCCCCCATAAACCGTACTGGTCGGTTCTCGTTGAATTCAACGTTGGGTTTCAAATGGAGCGGGACTTGGCGACCCTACCGGCTCGGCAACAAGTGTATCTTCAGGGGAGGTTGGAGGTAGTAATGGAGAGGGGGAATTGAGGCAGGTTGGGTAGATTAATGCGAAGGCTGCGGTACGGGTTGGAACGGTTGGGTGGGTGCAGAAGTAGAATGATATAATGGTTGTGGTGCGGGTTCGAGCTACATTGGTGGAGGTTGCGTGCATAGTAAAGGTGCGTGCACAGAAGTAGCATAGTAAAAGGGTTGGGGTGCGGATTGGAGCTGCGAAATGTAGTAGAAAGTGTTGTCAGAATACATAGTAAGGTTCTAAGCAAGGCTTCTTTTCTGCAGTCAATAGGTGCATATAAATCTCTTACCCATGAGGTTAAATAGTGGCTGATGAACTCTCTTCAATGCGCTGAACTCAGTCTGAATTATTGTTATATTAAGTGAGAAGTGTGAAATGGCCTAACTAATTAGCCGGCGGGCGACATTAAAACACGAGATGCCCCAATATTGAACAACTACGTCGCTTCTGTAAACGTTGTTTGATATCACAGATAAGTAGAAATTTAAAAAAAGAATGTTTTTTACACCATACACGAACTTCACTTTTATGACCATCGAATTTCTCTATTCTATATGGTAATAAAACTCTTTAAATCAAAGACCATGAAAATTTGACGTTGAAAATCTAGTTTTCTTGAAGTATTGTTTTCTCATCATTCGCCATCACTTTCAAAGTAAGATGAGGTTAGTTACGATTGAGGTCACTTCGCACCTATGCGCGAAGTAATCTCAGTCGTAACAATCGACGTGCACCCGACAATCCGAAGCTTCCACAAGGAAACAAACCTTGTTAGAGGCAAAAACAGGTCGACAACGGATAAAGTTTTGGGAGGCGGACATGCAGTTGAATAAAAACATGTAAGAATCACTGAAATAATTAAGGATCGTCACAGGTATGATGCACTACAAGCCAGCCAGACGAGATGTTCTCGATTCATAAGCAACCGAGACATTCCCAAAAATTTGGAAAAGCAAAGCACTACCAAACGATCTGCGCAAAAGTTTTGCGATTCGCCAATTGAAAAAAAAGAAAAAGAGCGAGCGAAGCGTTACTCCAGAAAAATTACTTGCTTGCACATCATAAAATTGAGAATGGGGATGGCAGGGAGTGAAGAAAAAGAGAGATCAGAGACCTCTCCAGCAGAATTGGATGAGAATCAATAATTAATGAAAGAAAGTGATTAAACGCTAAATATTTAATCAGTCTGAAAAGCAAAACGCTCTGCTAAACACCACATGGCTTCTTTGCCAAAAAGATAAGACTATGAACTCCATACGCTTCTTTGGGCGATTGCACTGCAAAGCGGCTGTAACAAGCAATGAAACTGCTGAACAACAAACACAATTAGAACTTTTCTACCTCTTTACCGAGCGCACGATGACATGCAAGAAAGTAGGCTGCTTTCGAATACTCTGTCATATTTGTGTAAACCGCTGCCAAAGATGTATACGCTCTTGCAACGCCAGCATAGTCCTTCAAACTTCGTGCCAAGGAAAGATGCCGCAGATAGAATCCGGCAGCTAAAATATTTTAGTATGTCAAAAACGCACACCAACAAGCGATCAAGTACAAAGCTACACAGAAATGGAGAAAATGGAAATAACCTATACCCCTTGAGTAATCTGGCTTCAATGATGAGGCACTGGCCAAATAGAAACAACATTGAGCTTCTCGTCCTTTATTATTTTTCTCCACAGCTAGATCCAATGCAGACCTGTGCCAATCACCATTGTATTTCATGGAGAAGCATATGTAGTAATTACAATTTGTTGAAAAGAAGAAAACGCACTGGTAGTAAACGATGGCCTGATCGATTTCCGACAACAGAACGTGTGCATTACCGAGATTTATATAAGCTCTATGCTTAGCATTATGGTCTCCAAATTGAGAGGCAACAGACAAACGCTGAAAACACCAGTTCCGATTTCCAAGTTCCGAGATCGTTGCTGCGATTAAGACTCATCAAAAGAACTCAAAAATGCTAAGGAAACAGAAGTCTCACAAATAGTGACACTCAGTAGAACAACACCTGACAAGGAGCCTGCATACGAATCAAAAAAATAATAAACTGCTGAACTCATAATCATACCTTCGTATGAGAGTCTATGGCTCCTTTGTAGTCGCCAAGTAAATGCAACACATTTCCCATACAGCCGTATATCCGACCAGTGTTAAGATGGTCTTCTAACTTCCTTGAGATACCCGCACTTCGACTGAAATTGGACAGTATTCTAGGATTGGAAACAAAAACAAACTGTGAAGTATACAAGTGAACTAAAGAAATCAATGATTGACCAATAATACTGAAAGGCAAGGTTCAAATCATCATGATAAGAATAGGATGAGCTGGAATTTTGAGACATTTCCGCGTTTGCGTTTGCGTCTTTGTGAGCGAGAACAATGGTGTGCTGAAATGACTTATTTTGAGACGAATACGAAAAAGAATGACGATGTTCGATCTAAAAAAGCAAGTTTCTCACATACAGAGGTATTTTTCCCCGCTAGCTTCGCTCTGGCATGGTAAATGGTACCAAGGTTATAGAGGGCACGAGCCATGCACTTCTGCAAAAATATGTCATCAAGAACTGTTTTTGCTCGTTTCGGAACCAAGTCAAAGAAGGATAAGAAAATCACCTTATCGTTTAGCTGTTCAGCAAGCTCTAGCTGACGTTTCGTGAACACTATTGCATCGAGAAAGGAATTTTGCATTTTTAAAACATTGCCTATATTTCCACAAGCCTTGGCTTCGCCTACATCATCATTCATCAATCTGTAAGCCTTATTAAACAAAGTGAGACAACAGAATTAATAAAAATAAACTAACTTCGCTATCATCATATCATAACAATGATAGGAAAATGCCTTCTGCATATCGTTGGTTGAATAGTAAGCATTTCCCAACTGGCAATATATTGCAGATAAGGTTGAAAGATCATTAGTACCCTGATTGAGTGCATCCAAGAAAAGAGGGATTGCTGAAATTAAAAAACTATGTTGAAATTGTTGGTAATAATTATAATCTTAGGTCATGCAAGTTTTTAGAAGGAAGAATTCATTGTATTAATGGCTCAAAGTTTCGACGCAACAGGTCGAGATGAACCGTTATCCAACAAGCGTCCTGTTCGCTTTTATATTTTCCAACTTCTTCGGAAAACCTAGAACGCATTAAATTCCTTTCTCGCGGGAGTGGTATTTATTATAGATCCAAATCTACTTACTTCGCACCTTCCTCGCACATCCACTCACTCGCTTGTGGGATGACCTCCCTCAATTGGTTGTCTGGTGAGCTCTCTGGCAGTCTCAGTGAACCGATATTGACAAGAAAATGTATAAATTTAAGATCACCACATTACATGAAAACTGTGTAGTTTTATCAGTGACGTATCAAGATGCCTTTTTGCAGTTTTGCTCTATTATTTCTTGCTCTATTATGCTATGCACTATTAAATATGCTTAATTAGTATCCATGTTCGAATCTCAATGAATCTTGGCATGGCTTTGACTTTCACGGGACTCTACTCGGGTGGACACCCAAGGGGTTCTCCAGCACTGCTCGATTCAAGCCCTCTAGGTGTTCTTTCACTCTGGCGCGCAAGTAACGCCCCTTCCCAAGATAAATTTTTTATCCTCACGTAGATTGCATGTGATCAGGTAGACCACTCCTGGTGTGATGCAGTCACTCTCCTGTCCATTAGGGCAGAATTGGGAGTTGGTCAAATTCGATCGCAGCAGCGGTTTCGAACCAGCCGCTGCTTCAGATTTTCAGATGGGACTTCAACCACTCGTACCATGTCCTTTAGGCCACACCTGTGCAGCGCCGCCCTTATTTCAGAGTTCATAGTATCACTGACATATTTCAAATTTATTACATGCTGACACATATGTAACGGAGCAAAACATTAGAAAAAAAATCACAAGGAACCAAAAGAAGAAGAACAGCTATAGGCATGCGAAAAATATAACGTGAATATCAATTCACGAGAAACAAAGAATTGAGTAGCGAGACAAAGATAACGATCTAACAGCTTTTTGAAACCTGTAAGTGAACCCAGCACAGCATTCTCTTGCTGATTTTTGAGAAATCCCACCCAGACCTAAAGGTGAAGAAGTTGCTGCTTATGGAAGAACATGGTCGACGAAGAAGAGTTTTAGGATGAAAAAATTTTTTATTTAATGTTTTCCGCTTGCCTGTTGAGCATCCATTTCCTCTTTCGTTGATCAGACGACAAAACAGTCGTTTATGTAGCGGCAGTACAAAATAGGTCAAAATAGGTAGCTCAACTCCTAGTAACAGAGAATTCTTTTTTTGGCACCTTTTACGGTGCTTCTTTTTTTTTCTTGTTTTCTATGGACTCCGAGACACCTCGTGCTGCACAGATCCTTCAGAAACCACCGTTAAAACAAAGATCGTCTGCCTTTGGCCGCTGGATATCAGTGCTGATCTGCACGAGGCTGTCAAATATCTAACATCCGATAATCATGTTCCTTTGCACAACAAGACTGTCTCAACACATTTGCTCGATAAAAGCTCAGACATGGAGGACCTCCTTCAACGAAATAGAAGTTCGAAAGCTTACATTTGCAAACTCTTGAGAAGGAGAGGGAATTGAGGTTTTGAGACAGTCACTGGGTAAGAATTCTCATTCGTCTACTAGATCTTCCTCAACTGTAGATGATTTCTCATCCAATGTTCAAAGCAATTGTAACATGATATGCTGTTCTGAGCAAGAGCGATTGAGATCGGTGGTGAGCCCTGGGTTAGTTGAATGCACTGATCCAAGTCCGATAATTAGGGTCTCGTTTGACGTTGAACATATTAAGAAGATTCGTCATTTCCTCTCGAATGTTTACCTGCCACTTGTCATAGAATGGGTAAGCCAATTGCTCTTCGTTCCACCTTTTAAAATGGTACTACCTAATTCTTTCTTTCAGTAACAAATTCTCGCTCAGTAAAAGCGTTTTCAGAGATTTTTGTTAAACGCTCTTAACTAAGTCCGAGAGCGTGTCTAAGATTGCTCCCTCTCATGTTGCTAATGTTCCAGTTCCTGTTCATGATAATTCTGCAACTCCACCTTCGGGACAGGTTGTGACTAGTGATTCAATGCATGACCATTCTGCTGATACAAGCCCAGCGATTCAGGTAATCCTAATTCTGTTGTAATGTCAAACCACTAATCGTTCCTCGGCACCCTGGTTATGAGATGCGCTGTATTTTGGCTAAGATCTTTTAGGAAAATATTACTCTTCTAGTTTACCTAGCATCTAGCTTTGACTAAGGGGTAATTGCTATCGTGGAAACTTGGTTGAAGAAGAAAGATAATCTAGAATTTTCATTGGGGAACATTTCACTTCTTTATGATGTCACCAGATGTGACAGAATAAGGAAGAAAGGCGTAGGAGTCGTCGTCGTCAAAAATATTGTCAGTGGATTTGCATCTCAGTGTTGGAAGGCACAGATTCATTTTGCTTCACAGAGCTCCCGAATGTTCGTTTACTCGTACAAAACAGATTTGTCTGTTGACATAAGGCATAAGTGACAAAAATCACCCATAAGAAAGTAGGGGAACTGAAAACTAACACATCATTTGAGTGATTTGTCAATTTCTTGTTCCCCTACTCTTCTTATGGGTGATTTAATCTTTCCTGCTGCGTGTGGCAGACTGTACTTTCCTCTTCTATGACTATCAACCACAACTTTCTACAGCTTATTACTTTTCCTTCTGGACTTCGGCTCTTTCTGGATCTTTTATTTTGAAACTAAATGGGCTTGTCACTCGAGTTGAAGAAGCACCCTCCTTTGAGAACCAGCGATCATTCTGTAGTTTTTAAGGACTATTTTTTTCCTAGTAACTATTGGGCTTATTCAAGTGATTTCAAAAATACTGACGTCATTGTCCTCAATTCTTACTTGAATTCCGTGAGATGGTTTGGGTCTTTCCGTGCTTCCGATTCAGAGAATGAAATGTATGAAACTTTATTTTTATTCTACTCCATTGCTTGGAATTGTTTGTACCTATGAAAAAGTATCCAGTTTCCCTGAAGCGCATGGGCTGCTTCCATAGTCCGCCGGTTGGCCCGCGAGCGCGAGCGGCCAGGGGACTACTCGGCCGACGGTGTCGACCAAGGTTCAGTTGTAAACAAGGGGCAAGCGTCGCCCCCGACCGGGGCGCTCGGAGGCCGGCCGGCGGACTACGAAAGCAGCCATACCAGTTTATTTAGGACGTTTCTACCTTCTCAAAAAACGAGCGTCAAAAGAGAGGGCTTCCAAGCCTAACAGTGAAATCTTTATAAGTATGCCCGTGACAGGTTTGATAAGAAACTTCCCCGGTCCAATTGCTTGGTGGAAAAAGGGTTGTTGATTTACAAAATAGGGCAACTTTGTATAAATATATCAATACAAAGGTCAATTTTAATAAAGGAGCTGGTTTTCCTAGGTCTGATGATGGCTCAATTGTGACTTCTGATCTTTAAAGAACAAATTTACTTGCTGATGTTTTTTCCAATGTCTATGCGCATATTAAGCCAGTTGCAGTCCACTTTTGAATGGCACTTCGTTTCCAGTTGTGGAGTATTGAGTATGATATCGTCAAGATATTTTTGTGACATTTTCCTATGTGGCATAGTTGTTCCTCTGCAACACCGGATGGTATTCCCTTCCAGTTAATTAAAATTATTTCTTCCAGGATTTCTTCCTCTACCAATACCTCTTCAACTTTCTTTTTTTCTCTCTTTTTCAATTACGAATAACTCTTCAATTTGGTCTTTTGTCGTGGTGAGGTCCCTACTAGATGGAAACCTGCGTTAGTTATCCCTTTACCGAAGAAGTCACCTGGGTATGATCCGCACAATTACAGACCTATAAGTATAAACTCTCTTTTTTGTCGAGTGTTCGAAAAATTGTTGAAAAAAAATCGAGCTCCACCCTCGAACTCAATCGTGTTTTACCTAGCTGTCAACATGGATTTATGAAAGGTACGTCTACTGAAACCTTTATGCTAGAATCATAAAATGAATGGACTGCAGCACTGGATACCAAGGAAAGGTTGATGTGGTCTACCTTGATTTTCAGAAGGCCTTTGACAGAGTCTCTCATGAACTCCTGCTTTAAAGCTCTCTCATGTGGGTATCCATCCTCGGGTAGTTTCTGGATCAGAGCCTTTCTTGATAATCGTACCTTCCAAGTGTTACTAAATGACAAACTTTCCTTGTTCCGTGATGCTCATTTTGTGTTCCCAAGGGAGGCGTTTTATCTTCTCTTCTTTTCGTTGTTTATGTGTATGACTTGCCTGCTGTTATTACTAAACAGGGGGTCACCTGTAAGATGTTTGCCGATGGCATCAAATTAAATTTGAAATTAAATCAAATCAAGCTTGCAAAAACTCGAAATGGTGGAAGCTTTTCCTAAATGCAAACTACCTTACATGCTGTCTTTCGCTGGTCTTAGGAATGGTGCCTATTTCTTTCGCCTGAAAACACGAAAGTTCTCCATCTTGGGAAAAATAATCTCCGTTTCGATTACCTTTCGTCAGGAGTCGCCATTGATACGGTTGATCCAGTGAAGGATCTAGGATTCATTGTGGACAATAAACTCTCGTTTGATGAGCATTGTAAACATTGTCAGTAAGGCGGAACGCCGCCTCTTTCTTTCGTTCAAATCTCTGTGCTCTAAGGATTCATAGCTTCTCATTTTGGTTTGAAAAACTTATGTCCATGCTTGGCTATGGTACATGCGTTTTTTCTCCTAGTAAGAAGGCCTTGGTAGTTCGGATCGAGAGTTCAAAACAGTTTCACTAGGAAGGTATTTCTCCGATCATTGGGTTTCACTTACCGCAGCATCCCAAGTGGTATTATAAGGAACACTGTGCTTAAATTAGACTCCCTCGAGCTCAGACGAAGGGAAATTGATTTGTTTCTTCTAATGGTTTTCAAGATTCTCCATGGCTTGGTTGATCTTAAATCTAGAGATTTCTTTAAATAATATCAGTTCTCAACAAGGAGTCAATTCCTCAAAATTTTTCTTCGTCGACCACGTTCTTCTATGAGCAGCAATTTCTTTACCTTTAGGATTTCTCAAAAATTAGCAAAGGGAAATACTGTGCTGGGTTCTCTTACAGGTTTCAGGAAGCTGTTAGATCGCTCTTTGTCTCGCTGATCAATTCTTTGACTCGTAAGTTGGTATTCACCCTATTTTTCGCATGCCTTTGGCTGTTCTTCTTCTTTTGGTTCCTTGTACTTTTTTTCTAATGTTTTGCTGTTACATGTGTGCTGGCATGTAATAAATTTGAAATGTGTTAGGGATGCTATGAGCTCTGAAATGAGGGCGGCGCTGCACAGG